CCTCAGCTACATCGTGAGCCGGAGGCTTGCCTGAGCTACTTGAGACCTTGTGGGTAAAGGAGGCAAAAGTCTGACAGACCTGGAACCCATGTAAAAGTGGGAGAGAAACGACTCCACAAAATTCTCCCTGGCCACCTTATACATGCTGTGGCACTCACACACATACACACGCTGTGGCACTCTCTCTCTCTCACACACACACACACACACTCACACATACATGCTGTGGCACACACCTACATGCTGTGGTACACACATACATACATGCTGTGGCACACACACATACATGCTGTGGCACACACACATGCTATGGCATTCACACACACACATGCTGTGGCACACACACACATACACACAATGATAATATAAAAATAAGCACAGGAACCCCTGCCTGCCTGCAGAGGGACAGAATGATTTAGAACACTCACAAAGGGACCGAGACTAGAGACTACTGTTCGTTTCCCCTAAGGGAAGCACCTGATTTGTAGAAAGTGTCTGGGGTTGCTAATAAACCACATAATCAACTGATTTTCAAGGAGTCTCCTTTCTGATACCCACAGACCCCAGTGAAAAGCAGAGAGTCTAAGGAACAAGGAGCCAGTAAAAGAGAAAGCAGGGCCAGTAGCTCTCCTCCCCTGCAGCCAGTGAGGGCTTCCTCCAAAACAGAAGTGTGATGGAGAGACCCAGTAGCCATGAAAATCCCTCCGGGGCTGCAATGGAAGGGAACTTTGTTAGAAGCAGCCTACTCTCCACTCAATGGTGGTTCCGCCCTTTCCAGTCTTGGAAGAAGCTGGGAAAAGCACCTGAGGGAGATCTGGAGTCTACAGGGCCTCTCTATGGCCTTCCTCCCTTTCTCCCCACCCTAATCCAAAAACAAGGTTCTGCCTGCAGAACGGTAATGCTCAGAGCAGTTTTGCCCACAGCAAATGGCCACGGTTAGCAATTAATTACTGGGTTCACAATTTATAAAGCTCCGTGCAGCCCCCACGAGGTACCATTTCCTCATTTTAAGAGATGATAAACAATTTTCAGAGGCAAGTCCATGTCAGAAAAGGCAAGTGGGAACTGGACAGAAGGTTCAAGCCACGTTCACCCTGAGGATCCTGAAGGAAGGAACCAGGATGTAGTCCTGGGCGGAGGTGGGTGGGGGTTAGAGAGGGATTGACACCAACCTGAGGATGAGAGGCCAAGGAGGGGCAGGTAAAGAATGGGCTACGCCCCCGGACTGAAATCTCAAGGTCCAAATCAGGAACAGAAGGAGAGAGAGCACGAGCAAGGGACTCAGGACCACAAGGAGTGCACCCACACACTGAGACAATGGGGATGTTCTATCGGGAACTCACCAAGGCCAGCTGGCCTGGGTCTGAAAAAGCCTGGGTTAAAACCGGTCTCACTGGTCTCACTGAACATAGCTGACAATGAGGACTACTGAGACCTCAAGAACAATAGCAATGGGTTTTTGATCCTACTGCACCTATTGGTTTTGTGGGAGCCTAGGCAGTTTGGATGCTCACCTTACTAGACCTGGATGGAGGTGGGTGGTCCTTGGACTTCCCACAGGGCAGAGAACCCTGATTGCTCTTTGGGCTGACGAGGGAGGGGGACTTGATTGGGGGAGGGGGAGGGAAAGGGGAGGCGGCGGTGGGGAAGAGACAGAAATCTGAAAGAAAGAAAGAAAGAAAGAAAGAAAGAAAGAAAGAAAGAAAGAAAGAAAGAAAGAAAGAAAGAAAGAAAGAAAGAAAGAAAGAAAGAAAGAAAGAAAGAAAGAAAGAAAGAAAGAAAGAAAGAAAGGGCTACCCCAAGAGTGGTGCCTCCTGACCAGGCAGGCCTCTAGGACACTCAGGAAAGGGGAACAATGATATAGCTCCCTGGTGTAAGGCCCCTCTCTGTGCACATTTGTAACACAGCCTTTAAATGAGGACCACCAAGCTCAGGCTGGGTGGGAGGTGGTCAGAACTTTCTGGAGTGCTTCCCCCAGCAGGATGAGCCTAAGACCACCGGGGAGGTGTTAATGAAACAGGGAAGCTGCAAACAGACCCAGGAGTGATTCTAATCTGACACCTCCACCCCAGCCCCCACCAGTAATGAGCTGGGACCTGCCCTTCTCCCCAGAGAGGGGGTGAGGAGAGAAGGAGGGGTCCTCGGGTATCTTCTGACTTCAGAAGCCCCCTTTTATCATCATCATCGATATTTTCATCGCAGTACAAAGCTCTCACACACATGGGCACCCACAATTTCCTGTGCACTGTGCTAAGTCTCTTTCATATATCTGATTATGAATCCTCCCCTCTAGTTGAAACCTATAGAATGGGCACCATCTTGCCTCTATTTTACAGAAGAAGCAACTTAGCTAAAGCAAAGCCAACATCAGGACCAACAACATGGGGCTGTCTGGAATCTGTGATCACAGGATGGTGCATGGTGGTGTACGTCTATAACACAAGCACTCAGGAGGCTGTGGCAGAGACCATGAGTTCGAGGCCAGTGCTGAAGATAGAGCTGGGATGGTTCAGCGTTTGCTTAAGTTGCATTAGCCTCTGGGTAGGATCTCCAGAAACAAATAAACCCATGATCTAAGCACTTCAGAGATGGAGGCTGAAGAATCTAGGAGATTAAGGCCAGCCTTGACTGTATAGTGAGTCACGAAACTATATAGGCTGCACGAGACCTTGCCTCAATAAAATAAATTTGAAGTAAAAGTTCTCTGCGCTTTTGGTACAGCGCATCTGGCGTGTACCCACCAGGGATGCCACACAGGGAGGCAGGGCTGGGGTGGGAGGTAAAGGCAGCGCGGCCACCATGTGTCCTTGAAGTTCCAGAGGGGGGGAGGAATGAAAGGTGGGTAGGATTCCAGCCCCACCATTAAGGCTTCCGGTCTGTTAGCTCTCTCCTTCCCAGGTGTGCAGTGAGCATGGGCATTAGGGTACAGCTCTGCCCACTGCCTGGAGAAGGAGGGAGAGAATAGGGAGGGCTGCAGAGGGGGGGGGATGCTGAGAAGACCCCCACCACCACCTCCCAGCTGGGGAAAGGAGGGGCTGAGGTGCTCCGAGCAGAGTCCCTGTTTGTAAACATCATTAATCAGAGATTAGCAGATGGGCATGCTAATTGCACCTGTGGAAGTGAGAGACCTCAAGGTTGATTACATTTACAAACTGTGGGGATCCCTGGTGCCTGGCCCTGCAGGAGCAAGAAGAGGGATCTAGTTTAGGGCACCAGGCGTGGGGAAGGTTTGGCAATGTAGCCTCTTGATTTTATACACGCGCACGCGCGTGTGTGTGTGTGTGTGTGTGTGTGTGTGTGTGTGTTCCAGGCTGGCCTGGCTGGCTAGGGGAGAGAAAAGTTGGGATGTGTAGAGTGTGGGAAAATTCCAAGTTAGTTCCCAGCCCTCCTGAGAGCTTCACATCTTAGCCAGGATGGAGGGAAAATGGGGAGGGGCCTGGCCAAAAGGGAATTCTGTAAATGTTCTTTCAAGTCTAGCCTTCCCCCAACTCCTCCCAGTATCCCACGAAAAATCACTGTATTGTGGCTGAATGGAAGTCTAGAACCTCTGGGAAACTGAGGCCAGTATGAAAGAGAAGCACATCCCAGTGCCCCGACCTCCAGGCTGGTCTTCGGGTGCTGTAGGAAACAGCCAGTGACCTCCAGATGTGAGCGATGGCCTTTCCTCGTATGCTCTTGCATCTGCGTCTTATAGACCATGAAAACTGGGGCCCTGAATGTTTTAACCATGTGGGTGCCTGGTTCTAGCTTCCCTAAGACTGGAGTTACAGATGGCTGTGAGCTGCCACATTAGTGCTGGGAACTGGACCTGGAAGAGCTGCCAGTGTGCTTAGCTGATGAACTATGACTCCAGCCTGGTTTGCTTTCATTTACACCCTAGGACTACCTACCTGCCCAAGAGTGGCACACACCACCCACAAATGGGCTAGGGCCTCCCACATCAATTATTCATCAAGCAAATGCCCACTGACTTGCCTCCAGGCCAATCTGATGGAGGCATTTTTCTCAGCTGGGGTTTCTCTCCCCAGATCACTCCAGCTAGAGTCAAGCTGACAAAAAAAAAAAAAAAAAAAATCCACCCAGTAGTTTTAGACAATCTCTTAAGGACATTAGTTCTCACAGCAGGAATCCCTTGAAGTCTGCTTGGGCACACAGAACCTGGGGGTCTTGGTGCTTTCCCAACCTTCTTAGTGTAAACAGACCTATTACCAGAGGTGTAGGACGGCTTAATTTTGTTAGAAGCTGCAAGCCTATGTCAAACACTAGATCATTCTGAGAGCCACTGAGCACCACCTGGGAGAAGGGGATAAATGCTATTTTTTAAAAAACAAAAACAAACAAACAAAAAAAAAAACCAGGGTATTGCTACATAGCCCTGGCTGGTCTGGTACCTGCTATACAAAACAGTCTAGTCTCGGGGGCTGGAGAGATGGCTCAGAGGTTAAGAGCACTGGCTGCCCTTCCAGAGGTCCTGAGTTCAATTCCCAGCAACCACATGGTGGCTCCAAACCATCTGTACTGAGATCTGGCGCCCCCTGGCGTGCGGGCATACATCAAGGCAGAATGTTGTGTACAGAATAAATAAATCTTTTAAAAAAAAAAAACAGTCTAGTCTCAAACGCATTAACACTCTGCTGCCTCAGCCTCCTGAGTGCTGGGATTACAAGTATGCGCCGCCATGCCTAGCAAGCCAAGGATTCCTGAACCCTGACACCAGCTGGGACCTTTAAGAAATACTAATCCAGTATATACATACAGCACACATGCACAGACACAAAAACACTGGGGTTTTCTTTGTTTGATATAGGATTTCTCTCTGTAACTGCCCTGGCAGGTCAGGTGGCTCAGTGGGTAAAGGCGCTTGTCCTTGGGCCTGATACCATCCAGAAAGTTATCCTTTGATCTCCACACGTGTGCTATCGAGCACTCACACACACACACACACACACACACACACACACACACACATTCAAGGGAAGACACAAAGAAAGGCAAGAGGAACACCTGGCTCCTTCCTGGAGACTGTTATTTAATTAATCTGGTGCTTCTGGGCATTAACAGACAACCCCTTCCCTACCCCATGACTCCAAGGCACAGGCAATGCTAAAAACCTATATTTGAATTCATAAAATTGACAAAACAATAAAAAGACAAAAACCAAATCCCTGCTCTTCGGTGAGACAGCACAGCCTGAGCTCAGTGGTCATCAGAGCTTATGTGGCAGCTGGGGACACACAGCTCAAGATGGGGAGCTGGGGGGAATGGTGTTGATGAAGGGTTCTCTGTCTTTCCTTAGGAGAAAAACTTTACCGTGACCGTGGGACCTGTGACGGTTCATCTTCACTGACCATTGGCCTGTCTTTGGGATCACCTGGGAGGGCCACCCCTGGCATGTCTTTGAGGGTGTTCTCAGACAGGACTAATGGAGGAGGGACGGCTCTCTCTGAACGTGGGCAGCACCGCCCCGCGGCAGGAGCCCTGGACTAAATGAACAAGGGAAGGGGAGAGAGTGAGCGAGCACCCACATCCAGGGCCCCAGCTCCTGCCTCACACCCCCTCCTGCTGCTATACCTCACCCCCACCCCCCACCCCCGCTATGAGGAAATGAAAGTTCTCAAACTTGAGCCAAAAGAAACCCTTCCTTTAAGTGCTTTTATTCAGTATTTTCAACAGCAGCAAGAAAAGTAAGATCTCCAGGCCTTCTGCAAACAAATTCAAACCTTGTACTGAGTGCTCACTGCGATTCGGACCCTACTCCAGGGAGATCACAGAGGAAACGGGCACCAAGCTCCCATTGTTCTTTATATCCTACAAGGATATAGAGAGAGCACGGAGGTGACTTTTCCCAAGTCTCACAGCCGCCGGGATTACAATTCAGGGATGGTCCTCCATCCCACACTCAGGGCTGTCAGTCAAGATATCTGGCCATGTGAGGACAGTTTTGTTTCATAACTGGAGATGGGATACAGACCTCTAGTGGGTACGTCTCATCGTGCTCGGGACAGTTCCTACAGCAAAGCATCATCCAGTCTAGGGCTCAGATGGAGCTCAGTAAGTAGAGTGTTTGTATAGCTTGCACAGAGCCCTGGATCTACCCGCAGCTACATATAGAGTGGGCACAGTGGGGGGAGGGGGTGTCTTGAATTCTTGCACTTGGGAGGCGGGGACAGGAGGATCAAAAGTTCAAGGTAATCTTCAGCTAAAGGGCAAGTTTTAGGACACCCTAGGTACATGAAACCCATCTCAAAAAGGAAAGAAAGAAAGAAAATCCTACTGCCCAGGGTTTACCCACCCTTCACACGGTGGCTGCTGTATTGCGCTTGTTCCGTTAATGCTTATCAAGTGTTCCAACGTGCAGCAGCCCAGAGTGAGACCACTATTCTGCAATATCAGACTTTTTATCCACTTGTGGGACCCTGGAGGAGGGGACCAAGCCTATTTGGAATTGCATAATAGTGACCCTGACTTCATAACCTCTCAGATTCAAAAGCAAGGGCTCTGGTCATGGGTTCCACCAGGTTGGACTGCTCGCTCGCTCTCTCGCTCTCGCTCGCTCTCTCTCTCTCTCTCTCTCTCTCTCTCTCTCTCTCTCTCTCTCTCTCTCTCTCTCTCTCTGTCTCTCTCTCTCTCTCTCTCTCTCTGTCTCTCTCTCTCTCTCTCTGTGTGTGTGTGTGTGTGTGTGTGTGTGTGTTTGTATCTTCCCTGTCTCTAATGGTGCTTTGCAGCTGCAAAACTATGGTGCAAAAAGCAAGACTGCCACCTAATGGAGAGACAGGGCAGGACAGCTCAGCTCAGCTGTAAGGCACTCACTGGATGGAACCCCTCATTTACTTAATTCCCATCGCCTGGAAGAGTAGGTATGCATGCGCATCCACCCAACTTCCCTCTACACCCTCACTCTCATACGTCATACACCCTGCACTGGACTGCCCCATTCTTCCTCATGCCAAGACATCCCTTTGACTGTCCTAGGGGAGATCCAGGACAGGCACCATCTGTCTTAACGCATCCTGGACATTAGCAAACTACCGTTTCCAACTGGAAATGACACCCCACCCCCTTGGTCTCCACTGACCATAGCCAATAAACAGCTTCTCACAGGCAGAGAGCCCGGTACATTCAAGCCAGTGTGCGACTCGGTCCGATTCCTATACATGTGTATCTCAGTTGAGATGAGCCCACTTTGAGCCTGTTTTTCCGACCACAGTGGCAGTCCTGGGTACTGGGCCTCTCTGAGTCCTCCAGGCGTAGCTAAGGGTTCTCAAGTGCCTTGGAGAAGTTGTCCTTTCTCGGTCTGTGCAGGGAAACCCTTCTTCTGGCTGCAAATGGAGTGTAGAAGAATTCCTAAAGGCAACAGGGAGAGGGAGGGGCTCAGGACACATGCAGGGCACACTCCTGTTTTCATAAACAAGTGTGGCATAGAGGGAACAGCCTGTTCAGGGCAAATCAGTCCGAAAATGAGAGGAGACAGAAGCCACCGCCATGGAGTTGGGGGTGAGGGAGATGTAGACTCACCTGTGGCCACAGACACATTCAAGGACTCAAGACCGGGAGGCAGCTGACGCCTGGGCAGAATAGTAAGAAGCAGCTGGCAGGAGGCAAGAACCTCCTGGGACAGACCAGAGCCCTCATTGCCTGCAGGACATGCGACAGTGTTAGGGAGCCCCAACCTGAAGTCCACATGCTTAGAATAGACAAGTGAAAACGGAAAAGCAGGTATAGCCAGCCTACCTACCCAGCACAAGGAGAGTAGGCCGGTCCCAGGTGAACTCTAGGCAGCTAGTGATGGGGACCTTGAAGGACTGGGAGATCTCAGGACCTGGGCAGCCCACTGTGCCCACCACGAGCCAGCCCTGCTGGGCCTTGGCCTGAAAGGAGGAAGAAAACACCACATCCTGGCTCACCGAATTGTCATCAGAGCCATGGCTGAGGAGCTCGGGATTGCACACACACACACACACACACACACACACACACACACACACACACACACTGAAAATGCCTTCGACTTAGGGTGAGTCAGATCCTCTAGGTGACCAGCATTTGCTCCGGGCACTGAGGATGAGGCCGAGAACACAGCAGACTGAAATCCCAGCCGTGTGGCAGAGCGGCTGTGGAGGCCTCCTTGAGGTGGCAGCTCAAGTGCAGATCTGAAGATAACTAATGGATGAGTATCAGTGGGGGAAGGCTCTAGGCAGGGGGACCTGCAAGTTTGGAGACACAAAGGTCCTGCCCACCTGTCGTATCTGAGGAATGGTAAGCTGGCCTGGGGGAAGGTAGCCAAAGAGGAAAACCAATAGCCACACAGAGTAAGGTCTCAATGCCACTGGAAGCATAGGGCTTTAACACTGACATAGAAACTTTGAGAAGCGTTATTTTCCTTTGGTTTTTAAGACATGAACCCCACGCTGACCTTGAACCTATGATCCTTCCAGTCTTAGTCTCTCAAGTGCTGGGGCTACAGGTATGTGCTGCTGGATCTGGAGCTCTGAAACATTTTGAGCAAAGCAACCCTGTCTGATGTGAGTGTCGGCAGAATCACTGTGCATGCCACACTGAGACCCCCAGCACAGGGAGATGTGAACTCGGACCAGGGCAGCAGAAGAAGCAGTGAGACATGGGGGTGGTGTAGCAATAACTCCATGCAAAAGGCAAAAGGATTTGGGGACGTATGGGATGTAGCTGTGAGGACAAGAAGTCAAAGGTGATCTCTAAGCTGAACAACTGGGCAGGGCAGGCCCTAGGAGAACAGAAGGTGAGTCCTAGAAATGGGACGTCTGAAATGCTCACTGTGGGCGCGGAGGGGAAGAGCTGCAGCAGAGGCACTAAGTCTAGAGTTGGGGTGCGGGGTGAGATCCAGGTTAGAGCATCCATTTGGGAGGCAGTCAAGTAACGTTGTGGGAGTCTAAGCCCAGCGATGGTGTCACACGCCTTTAATCCCAGCACTCGGAAGGCAGAGGCAAGTGTGTCTCTGAGTTCGAGACCAGCCTGGTCTACAAGGAAGTTCCAGGACAGCCAGGGTTACACAGAGAAACCTAGTCTGGGGGAAAAAGGAACAAAGAGAGACTCCCACTTCCCACCAGGCTTGGCCAGAGACCACGAAAGGGGGACTGCCTCTGAGCTGACTGAGAAAATGCTTCTAGACGTGCTGTTTATGTGAAAGCCGCTGGCACACCTTACCTAAAGATTCTGACGCTTTCTTATGTGTATCAGGGTTTAGCCGCATGTATATGTGTGCACCACGCATGCCAGATACTGGTGGAGGCCGGAAGAGGGAGGGCGTCAGAAGCCCTGGTACTGGAGTCACAGATGGTGGTGCTGGGAATCAAACCTGGGACCTCTGGAACAGTCAGTGCTCTTTCACTGTTAACTCTCTCTCCAGCCCCAGTACACGTGGCTTTTGAGATGAGATGTATTATCTTTAAACATGGGGGGAGGGGTTGTTTTAATTTGGCTTGGTTTTTTTTTTTTTAAAGATTTGTTTACTTTGTTTACAGTGTTCTGTCTGCACGTGTGCCTGCAGGCCAGAAGAAGGCACCAGATTTCTTTCTTTACAGATGGTTGTGAGCCACCATGTGGTTGCTGGGAATTGAACTCAGGGCCTCTGGAAAAACAAGCAGTGCTCTTAACCTCTGAGCCATCTCTCCAGCCCCTTGGTTTGGGTTTTTTAAAGATAAGGTTTCTCTGTGTAACAGTCCTGGCTGTCTTGGAACTCGCTTTGTAGAACAGGCTGGCCTCGAACTCACTGAGATCTGCCTGCCTCTGTCTCCCAAGTGCTGGGATTAAAGGCATGCACCACCAACTCCAGGCATAAATAAACATTTTTAAATGTGATTTAATTTGAACACTTATAAAGAGGCTGAGGCAGGAGGATTTCTGTGAATCTGAGGCCAACCTGGGCTACACAAGACCCTATCTCAATTTTTTTTAGTATGTAAAGTGTATTTTTTTTTAAAAGACAGATTTATTTATTTGTTTAATTATGTGTACAGTGCACCAGATCTCACTATAGATGGTTGTGAGCCACCATGTGGTTGATGGGAATTGAACTCAGGACCTCTAGAAGAACAGCCAGTGCTTTTAACCTCTGAGCCATCTCTCCAGCCCTAAAGTGTATGTTTTAATGATATTTTGGGCACATTGAATGAAAGTATGTTTTTTTTTCTTACTTTTCTGGTTGTTTGGTGTTGTTATTGTTTTGTTTTTTGAGGTTGGGTCTCACATAGCCCAGGCTAGCCTTGAAAGGAATCGTCTTCCTGTCTCCACCTTCTAAGAGCTTAAATTACAGACACCTGGCTCTTTTTACTTTTCAGCATGGTTACTAGAAAATCTGAAATTAGACACGTGGCTTGAATATAAGTTTATTAGGCGGCTTTCTTCCCCCTCTTTTCAAGGTTATTGTCTTACCGCAGGGTGAGGGTGGTGGGAGGGGGGGAATCGGACAGAAGTCAGAGGGTCTGCCAAATGCGAGGCAATGCTGCCTCCTGGTGTCTAGTCGGGGAAACACAGCTGAAGAACGCTAAAGCTTGCCCCTAGCAAAGCCATGTTCAAAACTGCTTTCAAGTTGAGCTTCTAGTCCATGTATCCACATCTCCTGCCCACCAGCTCCCCAGAGCATTGCTAAAGACCCAAAGGTGTCAGACATTGACTTGCTGTTGCGGGTGGCCAAGGCGTGTAGTAAAAGAAATGAGGCGAGGAAATTCCTAACTTCAGACAATGCTCCATTGGTGACTTTAAAGACCATAGGAATCAATGCCACCACGTTCCATTCTCCCACCCCACCTCCCATCCACTGCTAGCTAGAAGTGACTTTAAGTGCCCGAGCTAGACTCATCGCTTCTCCTTCCCCTCTCGTCCCACGTTACCTTCAAAAAAACGGCCAGGTCAGTAGTGGCGAACACGTCCATCACCTCCACAGCCCCAGCGCTGGCCTTGCTGACTACTGGGGTAAGCGGGCAGCTGCAAAGGTTCCCCCAGGATCCCCGTTAAACCTGGTAATCCCAAACCCCGCGCCCCACACACCCTCTAGCTCCCAAGGGTTTAGGCTCCTTCAACCAGGAGCCCGGACGAGGGACCCCCACCCCGAGGAGCTTAGGAACTTGACTCCGCCTCCACTAAGGGACTTCCTGCCTGTTTCTCCGGCTGGTGATGACTCTGTCTACTCCGAGGAAGTGAGCGGAGCGCAGCACAGCCCCAAGATTCCGGGGATCCTGAAGCCCCTCAAGGACGAGCCATAGTTGCTGAGGGTCGTCTCCCGGGCTCGCCTCTGTGGCCTCATCGCAAGGCCGGGGTCGCAGCGGGCTCACCTCCATGCAGACGCCCTGGTGCACCTGGTGGCCGCACAAGGCGTCCAGTTTCTCCCGCCTGGGCCTCAGGACAGGGATGCCCCGGGCCTCGGCCACCCGGAGCAGCTCGGCCCGCTCCCCTTGCAGCCCAGCTTTACCCGCCTGGAGCAGAAGCCGGGCCACGCTCCGGCGGGCGGCCCGCAGGGCCAGGAGGCACGGGGACAGGCCGAACAGACGTTCCAGCCTCTGGGTCGGCGCCAGGTCATCCAGAAGCAAGCGGCTCAGCTCCTCCCCGCCAGGCCGCGCCACCGGGGAGAAATGACGGACGATCCGGTGACCGAAGCACCCGACGGTCCAGAGCAGTCGCATAGCTCCAGTTGCACCCGGGACTCCACTAACAGACCGTTGCAGAGGACCCGCTGGCCTCCCACACCTCGTCCCCTCGCGTAGGACAAACTGTCCCCGAGTCCCACAATCTGCCAACCAAGACAAGACAAGTCGCCTCCCGGACTCCCACGTGGGTCCCCAGCTTCCGGGTTCCAGAGGCCCGGCCCCCTGTCCGATGACGCACACGCGAGTTTGACCTCAACTAAGTCTCCACAGCACCCCCTACAGCACTGGTTCGCACTTCCTCCACCGCCGCGGGCGAGCCGAGGCTGTGCTACTGCTGAGCTGACCCTAGCTCCTGCTGCTCTAGGTGTGGGAAGGTGTCGGGAGGCTAGGCTAGCCTTATTCACTTCCGCACCTGCAAAGACCAATTTAAGACGATGGGTGGGCCATCCTGTTCAATCAGTCAGTCTGGGGGCCTTCCTCCCCACATTCAGGCACATCGTCGTTTCTGGGAATTGCCAGAAGCTACCCAGACCCTTAGCACCAGTCAGCAGAACCCCCGAACCCCAGCGATATTTCCCATCTCCGGACCTCTGTGGTTAAGCCCCAAGTCTATCGTGTCTCTGTGGACAAGCAGCTGATGCTGGTGGCCCTTGGTAAAGCTGGGACTCCTTTGCTCACTGCTCAGACACCCACCCCACCCCCACCCCCGCCACTAAGTCTTTTCAACCTGTCTTTGCTTTTTTCTTTTGGTTTTTCGAGACAGGGTTTCTCTGTGGCTTTGGAGCCTGTCCTGGAACTAGCTCTTGTAGACCAGGTTGGCCTCGAACTCACAGAGATCCGCCTGCCTCTGCCTGGGATTAAAGGCGTGCGCCACTACCGCCCAGCCTAGACTTTTTTTTTTTTAAGATTTATTTATTGTGTTTTGCCTGTGTATACTCTGTGTGAGATTGTCGGATCCCCTAGAACTAGAATTACAGACAGTTGTGAGCTGCCATGTGGGTGCTGGGAATTGAACACAGGTCCTCTGGAAGAACAAACAGCCAGTGCTCGGAAACCGCTGAGCCATTTCTCCATCCCTCGGCCTAAACGTTTTTTTAAGGCAATGTCTCACTAGTCCCCATGCATGGCCTAAAACTCGTTATGTAGACCAGGTTGACCACAAATTCGCAGCGATCACCCTGCTTCTGCTTCTCAGGTGTTGGTACGCCCGGGGCCAATTTATTTTATTTTTCAAAATTCTTTCATTGTTTATGTGTGGAGGTGTATTGTCTGTGAGCATGGCTGTGCATCACAAGCATGCCTGGTGCCCCAGGAGACCAGAAGAAAATGTATATTCCCTGACAGTGGAGTCACCATGTGGGTTCTGGGAATCAAACTTGGGTCCTCCAGAGGAGCAGCCAATGTTCTTAACTGCTGAACCACTTCCCCAGCCCCTTATAAATAAAGTATTTATTTACTTACTAACTTAAGTTTTTTGGTTTTATTTATTTATTTATTGTTTATTTATTGAGACACATGTATCCTTGGCTGACCCCAGCACCAACCATCCCCTGCTCCCACTCCAGAATGGTTACTCCAAATTTACCTACCTTCCCACTTACCTGGAAGAAATTCTCAGACACAACCACACTGATCACCAAAAAAAAGGGGGGGGGGGAATGAAAGACACTTCTGAAGCCAGAGTAGGTTGTGATCTTTCTCTTTAATTGTTACAGTAAGCTGGGAGACAGGCCTAGTATTCTGTGGCCATGGTCAAAGTGCAGTGATGACCCCAGGACAAGAGCTAAAGTTGGGCTGGAGAGGTGGGGGAATGGGGAAGGGAGCCTACACAGGTAAAGGATGAGGCCTGTCTCTGCCACCCAACCTTAAGGGACAGAGGGTAGAAGATAGACAGTGCCCCTTTTGGCCACATTCCCTTGCCCAGGTCAAAAGGAAGAGGCTGAGGAGAGAAGGTTAAGGAGCCCAACAGGGGACTCAAAACAGGTCAACAGATAAAATGGTCACGACCGTGCCTTCTCTCCCCAGCCCATTTGTTCACAAGTATAAGCAGAATAATTTGACAAATTTCCTATCCCTAGTGGAGTGGATACAGAAAGTAAGATCCAGGGTCCAGAAATCAACACCTAAAATCCAGAGGCAGGAGGCAAGCCGTGAAGGGTGGGGAAGTCAGGAGCTCCCCACAGAATACTAGGTCACCTGCTCTGTGGGCCTCATCTGGATGTCTCCAACCTGTGGAAGGCAGATGATTTGAGGCAAGCACCCCCTAAAGGACTCCCTGGGCACACTTGGGCTGCTCCCAGTGGGTAAAGAGCTAAGGGCAGACTCACCTGAACATGTGGGGGGGTGCTGAGGACGTAGAGGACAGCCTCAGCCACATCCTCCGGTTTGAGACACTGAGAGCGAGCAACGGGGAAAAGGGTTGAGACAAGGGCAGAAGTGACCCAAGTTCCTCCCCACCTCATCCCACCCTAACCCTCAAGGAGTGATAGGCTAGGCAGAGAGGACAGCCTGAGGGTACTTAAGGACTGGGGGGCTCTACTGGGCCCAGAAGAAGGCCCCACCTTTATGTCTTCATAGGTGGCAGCTGCTCTCTCGGGGTCCTTGTCATGGAGTCTGAAGGCAAACCGTGTTTCCACCAAGCCTGGAGAGATACACTGGGCCAACAGAGAGGTCCTGCTCAGCCTGAGCTTCAGCAGGCCATGAGGTAGAAGGGAAAGGATAGATTCACAAGGACAGCTGCCTCATGTCAATTGTCCTCCTCCTTCCAAAGTCCAAAGTCACCACTGAGAGCTCCAACTGACACCTCTCAGAATACCCTGTATACATATGGAGCTGTTCCTATATATTTGGTTAACGCTTTACAAAGTGGTGTTGCTTAACCTCATAACCAGATAAGTATTATTCCATTTCACAGATGTGAAGACTGAGGCTTTGGGAGGTTCAGTGATTTACCCAAAGTCATGTGGCCTTCTAAGGAAGGGGCCAGAGTGCTGGCCTCCAGTCACGGTGTCTGATTTCCCTTTGTCTCACTCCAGGCTCCCTTCAAGTTGGCCCCTCCCACTAATAGTGTAAATCTGACCCTGGGTTCTAGGTGAATGAAGGGAGGAGCAGCAGCGCCCAGGACTTGTGCACTCAGTTGAACCCAAGGCTCTCGCAGGCCTTTCTGGGCATGTGCGGGCAGGAGGGCTGGGCCCGTGCCATTCCCACCAGGGCTAGACCACAGCCTCACCGTGGCCCGGATATGGGTCTGGGCCTCCAGAAGCTCTTGCCTTAGTCCCTCTGTCAATGCAGTGACGGCATACTTGGTCGCACTATAGAAATGGATGACAGACTGGGGTGGGACTCGGTGGCCACACATGCTGGGTGGAAGAAGGGAAGGGAGAGAGGAGAGAGTAAAGTTCCATAGACACAGGCAGCATTCCTAGCACCCTGGTCAGCCTCGTTACCCAGAGGCCAACAGGGAAGCCTTGCTGGGGGGGGGGGGACTTCTGATGGGTACCCCTACAGTTCAGTTTTTGGTTTTTCAAGACAGGGTTTCTCTGTGTAACAGTCCTGGCTGTCCTGGAACTAGCTCTGTAGACCAGGCTGGCCTCAAACTCACAGAGATCCACCTGTCTCTTGCCTCTGCCTCTGGGAGTCCTGGCATTAAAGGCGTGCGCCACCACTGTCTGGGGAATCTAGTCTCTTGTCTATGCAGCTCCTGAAACCGGCTTTGCCTTGAAGCTGTCCTGCTGGCTGTGTACTCCCTTCTGCAGCCAGACAGGTTAACAGGAGCCTCACCATGTTGTCTGCGTGCTCACTGACAGGGCTGTGCTGGGAGGTCTCTGGGGTTGTCCCCATGCCCCTCAATGGACAATGGCTCTCCTATGCTAGGGCCTTTGCAGTGTCTTCGGCCCACAAGGCGGGTTTATCCCTGGATCTGAGGAAAATGCACAATCGCACCCAGTTCCTGGAAAGGCCCAGGCCCAGGCATTGGCCATGGAGGGCAGGGGCTGAGCTGTCTGCTCTTCCCTTGGTCAGCATCAGGCCACTTAGATATTAAACGCCTGTCTTACTACCAAAGAAACTGCCATTTGGAGGTTAAGGAGCTGAGACAGGTGGGTGACTGCTGAACAGACCTGTGCTGAGCCTAGGCCGCCGGGCCTCACCTGTTGATGTTAATAATATGCCCGTCGTCCACATTCCGCTCCTTCATGGACTGATAAGCTTCCCGAGTGCAGATGCTGAGGGCCAGGACATTCACCTGCGGGCCAGGGAGGGCAATGGAGTGTCTCCGGCTTGGGCCCAACCGAATAGGTGATGGAGTTGCAGAGCACCAGGGGGCGGGAGTGGCAAGCGCTCTCTGTGGGGGGTCCCACCCCTCACAGCTACCACCCCCAGAAGACAGTAGAGGCAGCTCTTTTCCTGGCTGAGTTCCTGTAGGAATAACCCTCCCACCCAAGCCCAGGACACTCTGCCAGCCATCTCTGCCACAGTCAGACCTCGGCCTCAGGAAACCAGCCATCCTTCTCAGGGGCAGTGTCCAGACCTGCTCCCTCCTAAACAGACTGAAACCCTTCCTGAAATGGCCTAAACCTTTCCTTACACACAGAAGCCTCCTCTCCCTACCCTCCTGGGCCATCCTGCTCCCTGGTAATTTCCACCAATCATATGTGGGGGAGGCTCACAGGCCTTTAACCTATACCCCAGCAACAAGTCCAGGTGTGGGGAATCCAGTGGGTGGGGTCACTTGCCACTCCTGGCAGAGGTGACCTCCCCCACCTTTCACAGAGCAGAGGTCTAAGGCTATCAGCCACAAAAGGCCTGTCTGCTGTCTGCTCCACCCATTAGCCTTGCCAGAGGGGCCAGCAGCGATAAAGGGGCCCTCCTGCCTCCTCTTCTCTCTTCTCCAAAGAGGGACAGCTGGCAGATTAGCTGGTTTGCTTTATCAAGTGTCCCCCAGGCCTCAGGACAGCATGCCCTCAGTGAGAACCTGCCTGCATGCTTGTGGTAGCAGCAACACTGGGGTATTAAGATGCAGAAAGGGCTCAGCCTGTTTCTGGTCCTTTTAACAGGGTGGGATTGTGAGGCATATGGAAGACAAATGAGTCCCTAGGAGCGTGGTAGAAGCCTCCTGGGTCTGGCCTACTAGGATGAGGCTAAGGGATTTAGGTAATATTCAAGACAAAAGGGCCTTGGGAACTTAGGAGTCCCTCATCTCACAGATGGGCAAGCTGAGGTCCAGGCTGAGACATGTGCCTCTGCACATGAGGGCTGTGGTTCTGATCCAGAAGACTGAGGTCACAGCTTCATTCTCTTTGTTCATTGTTTCCCTTCCAAGGACCTATTAGTACTAGCCTACTGGTACCAGACATAGAGAGCGCTAAGACAGTGCTCTCAGCCTCTCAAAAGCTTTCACACCCTAACGCCACCCCACAATGCCCAGAAGATGGAAACACATGTCCTTGGGGCTGTGCCTGGCCTGCACATGCTCTTATTACATGTATTTATTTACTTATTTTGTGTGTGTGTGCATGCCACAGTGCCAATGTAGAGGTCAAAGGGCAACTTACTGGAGTTGCCTCTCTTCTCTCACCATACGGGTCCTGGTTCTCAATGGTAAGCACCTTTGCCAACTGAGCCATCTTACCAGCCCCTGGCCCGTACATTCTCTAAAGTGTATTACAGGCTCCCAGTTTCTCAAAGGAAATCAAGGATTTGCCCAGACTGCAGGGAGCAACTAACCTGGATTTGAGCAAGGACCACCCCTTGACCAGGCCGTGTGTTCTCCTACACTCTGTAGATCATCCTTGGGGACAGTGGAGCTGGTAACAGTGATGATTTATGTGCACTCATCCCAACTAGATGTGACGAGACTGACGCTCAGAGGTTGTCGTGAATTTGCCTGAGCCGTGCGGGGCCAGGTGCAAACATAACCTCTCATCTCTGTTGTCTTCCCCTAAGACCACGTACCCAGCACAGGCAGGGACAGTCATCAAACTACAGTTCTCTACCCTGCAATCTTTTCAAATCCCATCACAACCAGTCTAGAGCGTAAGAACTACCTGGGACTGAGAAGATGTTTATCTAGTTACTATCCTTGTGATACTAGTAGCGAGTGGAAAATCAAAATGTCTCCGTGGGAAACTGAAGCTCCCTTTTACTGGAGTCCTGTCCCCGGGAGCCCTCTGCCTTCTAGGCCCCTGGTGTCCAGTCTCCTCTGACCCCCGCTCCCCAGCCTCCCGCCCCAGTTCTACAAGCCTTACATTAAACATGTCCTTCCATCCGCTGGTGCTGCCCGAGAGCAGGGTGTCGGGCCGGGCCATGCCCGCATTGTTGATGCAGATATCCACACCATGGTGCTGAGAGCGCACAGCCGAGAACATGGAGAGGATGTCCTCCTCATTTGACAGGTCACATCTGTAGGGGATCAAAGTCCCGGGGTAGCCTGCACTCTTACATTCGGCAGCCAGCTCCTATGAAACCCAACAGGGGTCTAACTGGGGTGAGCCGCTCACTCCCACGCCTCCTCCCCCAGGGTCAGCCTTCCCTCCCAGGGCACAGTTTGGAACTCTTGTAGTGGCAGCCACCTTTTGGCCGCATGAGAGAGGTTAGGTCTGCCCATCCCCAAAGCTTGGTCTGTTTGGTCAAAGTCTAATGGGTTGTAGACACTCCCTCAGAGAAGGAGAGGAACAGTAGACAGATCAAGGAGGAATCTCACATATACACTAAAGTCTTCAGTGCTAAGGAGAGAGAAGGGGACAGGGATCCGGGGAACAAAGGGAGATTTATCTTCTCTCTCCCCAGTACCATATCATTCTTCCATTAGGGCCAAGAGGCCCTGAGCTGGTTACCCTGGAGACCCAATTCTCTACCTCTCTTTAGAGTCAGCCAGTCCCTCCAGAAGGGCTCAGCTCTGAACTGCCACCTCCCCTTCACAAAAGGCACACAGAACTTAAAGGTGAGTCGTGTACACACCTTTCAGTGGAACTCAATCAAGTCCCTCTTTCTCCTTACATGTGGTCAGAATGTCTAGCCCCAGGTACCCCCTCAACCCCAATTTTCCCCACCTTAGTTGGTCACCTGCCACTAGACACTCCCTGTGCATGTCCAAGCCTCAGCATACTGCAGAGCCCGGAAAAAGCAGAGCCACTGCGTGCGGCAGGAGCTGACATTTAGGAGCTGGAAGAAAGCAGGCTGTGGGAGGCCAGTGAGTGGCTGGCACTTGAGCCTTGTGAAGGTGACTGTGTAAGTGTGTGTGTGTGGGGGGTGCAGGCTGCCCTAGAGGAAGGCCAATTTGGCCATCTGCCCTGGCCGGGAGCCCCTTCCTCCTTCCAAGTGAAGCTAGGAATAAAAAGCTTGATCAGGTGACCAAATAAATTATTTTCTGCCTTTTTGTTTGTTTTTAGTTTTTTTTTTTGTTTTTT